TGGAGAGCGCCTTTATTTGTGCGAAATTATATAAAATCTTCTTCAAGCTTAAATTGACGAGAAATTTAATGCCGAAGCAATTCTGTTCTGTATACTAATCAGGAACGGGAGCGTAGCGCTGAATTTTATTTTCTATCTTATACAAGGTAGAGTCCTCTATAAGTTGGTGAGAGTTCAGCGAGTTGCGAAAGTAATTACATTGCCTCTACTTAAATTTTATTTACGACAAATGGTTAACTTTGCCAAGCATTATTTTCGTTTACAACTTCTTGCATGTTGAACACGTTTCGTTTGAAATTAACACACGATTGGTATTAATGAAACTTTTTATACTCGTCCCATAATGGGAATAATCGCTAAAATACTGACTGACAATTACCTTTCGAAACGACGACGTAGTCGGTTGGGTATGTGAAATGTTCATCAACTTTAAGTACGGCAATAATTAAATTTTAATAATAAATGTAATTAGAATGTATTTTCATAGGAGTATAATTGCTATGCCGCGCTTACATGCCAGGCTCTAAAATTAACACCCCGTAAAACGCATATAGTGTTGAGGGAACAGCCACAATTAGTAGAAGTAAGTCACCAAATTGAGTTACTTTATCTATTTTGTTTAGATGTAAAGAATTCCGGTGATATTGTTTTCTCGTTTGATATTTCTAAACATGAACATTCGGAGCTACCAGATGCAATGAAAGCGAAAAGACAATACGCAAAGCACAACTCTGAGAAATTTGTTGATAACTTAATAAGAAGAAAGTGTGATGATTCCTAACCATCCACTAGTGCTTCAAATGCAAACTGCGATTTAGGTGGGTAATTATTACTCTTACGAGATGTCAAAATAAAAAAAAGGGACTTTACTCACAAATTAGAATTAACTTTTTAAAGGAAGGTAACCGAAGAAATTTTACGAAGAAAATTTCGAAATTTAAAAAAATAACGTATACTGGCATCAAAGATACAACTAGGACAGGAAAGTTCGTGGAAACATTTTGATTCATTTGTGGATTTATTTCAAGAGGGCAATTGTGTAAATGCACGACACACAATTTCGAACATGCCACCACTAAGCGATCAACGAGAAGCTGTATCGCAAATATCTGAATTGAGTGAAGCAGAAACTACACTTACAAAAACCGCAAGCGCACACAAAATGGGCACGTTGTTTAGACAGCGCAAGAAACAACGCGAACTTGTAAAGAGGATTATGAAAATAACTTTGCTGCGTAAAGGAATAGAAAAAAATAACACTATTCTAAAAGAAAGAAATGACATTTTAAAACTGATAGAAAAAAGAAGAACTAAAAAACTAAAAATTATATAAAATCCCACATTGTATTGTACTGTATTGAGGTGGAAGTATGTCCAATAAATGGCTTATTATTATTATTATTACTATTGCATTAAGATATTTACAATAAAATTGCGTTTTTCTACGCCATTTTGATTGTCGGCGACAATGTTATCATTGGCTACTTTGTGATTATTTTCTCCTTCGATATCTTTATTTTCGATCATAAATAGCCCCAATGACTCCAGGAAGACCACCTGATTTTTCTATAGCTATAGCTATAGAAGCTGCTCTTCAGAATATCACGCAACAGCAGTTACATGCCGTCTTCAAAAACATGAAGAAAAGTGTTTATCGTGTGCATCTAATTTACACAATTACATTGTTATTAACAAGTTGTACAAGAAATTAAACCATGTCAATTTTTATATTAATTTGCTATTTGTGTAATTTCGCATAATTTGTAAATTAAAAAGCTTATACTGTTGATTGAAATTAAACGTCAAAAAATTTGTTTATTTTGAATTTTAAGGTTATGTTTTAGTATTGGTGCACTATTGCGCGTGTTGCGGCAAATGGTTACTAACGTCACTATTAATTAAAGCGGCGCAGCAACTCATTATTGATCGCACTGTACTAGCTTGACTTACACCAACATACTCATTGGATCCTGTAAGTTCTTGATAACTTCCACTACCCAGAAAACGTACTGTAGCGAGAACCTTAAAATATATATGAGGAAACACATATCGAGAAAATTTTTATGAACCTTTGTTTGAATACTTAAAGCTGACCTACGAGTAGGCTATTGCAAGTAAGGCGCCAATGTTTCGATTAAGTTTTGCATTAATGGCTTACTTAATTTAAATAATTTTACAAATTTATTGTCGGACAACAAGAAAGGATTTTTTCTAATGAAAACTTCTCTGTCAAATCTTAGATCCTCTTCCGCATTTTGTATATTGTCGATTATTTCATCCCACAAAATTACATCATCAATATCCATTATTAAAAGAACCTCTAGTAAATTATGTAGAAAATATCCTTTAAGTAGCCAGTCACTTATAAATACGAATGATAAAAAAATAAGTATGCGTGGTTCCCTGCTAACTCCCTTCAAATTGGCAATAGAACAGTTTTGATCCCCAGGGAGTGGTGGGGGAGTAGAAGGAATAGTCAAGAATACCAATTTACGAGTGCGAGAGAACCACGCCCAGTTTCTCTCGCTAGTTCTTACTCCTCGAAATTCAAGAATACGCTGGACCTTTCATTAGAATACCATTCAGAACGAGTGCTCCCTCCCCCTCAACTTCAAAAATGTTACATAGCACGACTAAAGGTGTGCGATGTAAAATCTGAGATGAATTGGTTGTCGCATGTAAAACACAACAAAATTTTATGGTCGTCTGGCGCACCTTCAAGGTATAGGCCACCTATTACAAAAAATTCAATAGTAGGTACGTGACTTCAATATCATCCACGTTTTGTATAAATCTCGAAGTTATCCTCTCGATAACAGTGCTTTATTGACGCCACCTACAATTTAATTGGATTACATTTTCTCATTTATTGCCAAACGACGATGTCGGTATACTTTTCAATTTAATAAGGAAGTTATGGTATTTAACTTGCAAGTTTTATCTGGACGGCGATAACGTGAAACTTACTGCGGTTTGCATTGGAGATCGGTATTTTGTTCAAACCATCTTGTAGAGCTTGAACTAAACTAGTGGTTTTCTTTACGCAACACAGTACTATACATATCTACCTATGAAATTTCTAAGCGAGCTCTTCTTACTGCTAAAATTAATTAGGAAGGTACGTGCGTTGGAGAAATAGCATTGAGCATAATCGTGCACAAAGACTTCCGCTCTGAATGTTATTCTACTTACAAGCTAACATTGACGCGTTGAGAAGTTAGTTACGTCTGAAAGGGCATGCCGTTCGTAACTTGAGGGCTTATGTGTAAACAAAGAACTATTGTCTGTTTCGGTGGCAGTTCTCTTGCTTATTTACGAAAATGTAGGTATGTGCATATTTTCACTTTGAACAATTTGCGCAGTGCAGCGCATCATTAGAACTATTTCTGGCATCCATTTGTATGTTTGAAGTTACATGTATCGCCAAGGTAGTAACTTTGGTTATTGTATAACTTAGTAAAGTTTGGCATAATCATAAAATGTTTGTATGTAGATATACAAAGTACAGCAGTTTCGATGCCATATTTGGGCTATTTAACAAGCAAATTTAAAACCAAAATTGTTTGGTTTAAACTGCATGCCGTCGGTCCGGAAAAAAGTGACATAACTCAAAAAACAGCCGTTTTGCGTTATTTGCACAAAACGACTGAAAAAGATGCATATGTTTATCAAGAAAAATGTATTAACTATACGACGTCTTATAGCCGCTAGATGACACAAGTGTCGCATTTCCATTAATACAAACAATAATGACATGGATCAGCAAAAGTGCCTCATTTTCAGTTGCGCGTTTGCTTTGTAGTAGAAAAGACACTTCCTGGCAAGAAAAGCGACACATTTCGAGAAGTGACACTAGTTCAAACGTTTTAATTCAAGAAAAATGACATTATTTAAGTTGTGACGGTTTTCCTGTTCAGGTAAGATAACGTTTATATCAGTTATTATGATTATTATTATTATATAAGAAGAAGGCGTTACTATCTCTATTTAAGAAAAACACTATTTCTATGCTATTTCGATTATTATAATCCACTGTAATGGTTTAATATCTCTAGAAGTTTCTTTTTATTTTTTTTTGTATTGCTGTACAACATATTTTTCATTTTTATAATAAATCGAAAAGCTTAATTTTGTGTATTATTTTGAAGTTTATTCATAAATGTTGCAAGAAAAATGTCAGAAGTATTAACAAAAAAATTGTTTAAATCATGTTTACCAAATCTTCTCTTAAAATGACATCTTCAAGGGCTTTGAAAAATTATGCGTACCACAGCTAAAGGAATATTTTAATTACTTCGCCCGTTGCGTCAAGGTTTTATTTTAACAAAACTTAAATTGCTTCTCCTGAAAATGTACTATTTTTGACTTATGTCACTTTTCTTGCGGACCGACGATGTGTATGTAGGATAATTATAATTTACCATACTTTATTATTGTATACATATTTTAGAAAACCACTGAAAAACACAGAAAAAAATTAAAATAACACTTATATGCAAATTTAAAATTTAGATATGGAATACAAATATACAGGCTGATTCAAATTCAAGGGCCACCATGGGGATCTCGGAAACTATAAGAGATAGGAGGTAGTTTAAATTTGGCAAAATGCAGTTTTGAGACGATATAATCGAGTTACATCAATGTCTATTTCGGCTCCTAATTCTGGGTCTACGAAAAGTCTTCGATTGGTGTTCCCGTCATTGGTATTGCCAAATCCGGACTTAGGTACATCTACAATCAAGTCCATTTTCTTTCTGAAGTCCTCTTGGATTTCTAACTTTCTCTTAGGGTTGCCACCTGTCCTTATTTGGTAAGGACAGTCATTATTTTACCTACTATGTCCTTCCGTCCTTATTTTCTCTTCAAACGTCCTTACACGCTAATTTATTGTTTTGTTTTGATATTTACGACCTTCGCATCGCGTCGGTTGCGTTCGTTTAGTTGAAGCAATCCTCTCGGATCTTGCTTTTCGCGCTCACCGTCGCCGCCTCTTTTTTCTATTTTTAGATTTGAAAGGATAATTTATGCGATGTTTACGTGAGTCAGTTGCAGGTTGCAGGTTGCACTCTAGTTCTCGTTTTTGCATTGCATTGTGTTGTTTTTTTTACTTAGCGTAGCGGTAGCTGTTATTATAATTTATATATAACAGCCAACAGGTAAGTGTTTAATGTTTAATTTAATACTAATCTAAAGTTAAAGCCAAAGTTAGTATTTAAGTATTAATTATTCCGCAATCATATAAACACGAAAACATTTAAATTTACGTTACGCTTAATTAACCCTTACCTGTTACCACTTTCAACTTTGCCAGAGTGTCGTATCATGAATCATGGTGAATAATTTCTATAAATTAATGTATTCAATTCAAACATGAACCAATCAACGTCAAATGCTTACTTATAATAAAAATGCAGTTTTGATACAGATTAATGAATTTATTTTTGCAAGCATCAAGAAAGAATGGATCATCCAGATTGGAGAAATCAGTGTGATGGGAAAGGGAAACCTACGCCTTTGGACCAGTTATCAACTGCCAGCAATTCCAGAGGGGATTTGGAGCATGAAGAGCAAGAGGTAGAAATAGAAATGTCAGATTTCGATTCTGTGGCTGAAACGGGACCAATAATGGTATGAAAATTAAAATATGTCAAATATTTTATAGTTAATAGATATAATTTTAGTCTGGTACTAGTCGACTTGATCCCCAAACCCCTCCCAAGACTAGAAATCTTAAACGACGTTGTTATTTCAATAAGGAATGGCAAAAGAAGTTTTCATGGATAAAACCAGCATCTAGTAACACTGATGCATATTGCAAAATTTGTTGCAACTCTTTTACAGTGAGTTTTATGGGAATATCGGCTGTTATCAAACACAGTCAACCTCCTTGCATACGAAGAAATTATCCGCAGGAACAAGATCACAGCTTCTGGATAAATTTGTGGTAAAAAAAGACACAAAAGAGGAATTAAAAATTATTTTAGCCGAAATCTGTAAAATTTACCATACGGTAAAACATAATCAGTCTTACAATGGATTAGATTGTTGTATAAAGTTAGATAAAATTATTTTTTATTATACCTGAATCACAATCTCCGTTTTAAACACTCAAATGCGTGCGAAAAAGGGCCTTTAAAACACACGTGCTTTAAAGTTGCTAAGTAACGATACTTCAAGTATGACTTTTGAAACTGTCATCTGGATGAAATAAAAAATCCTCTTAGGTCGCTTTCTGTAAATGCAGAACATTTCTTTGGCTTTTGTACCCATCCTTTGGTTGAAGCTTTCACAAACGCGCGTAATTTAGGGTATGCTTCCAAATCTGTTCCACTTTTTAATCGCAACATTGCTTGGAAGTTTTGAATGAATGCACCAAAATATAGAAGATTTAAATACCTTTGACATTTCCTTCATGTATGCCAGCATTATCGATTCATTTAAGACTGTATTCGTAAGTAACTTCCTATTCATCCATGGAAACAACTTTTCATATTCTTTATAATAGGCTTTACTGGAGTTGGATTTTACACCTACCAACGTTTGTTTAGATTTTACAAGCGATTTAATGAACGGTGTATTATCTTTTTCAATGGAAATCGTTTAATTCACAAAGACGATGATTTTTATAAGCAAACGTCCATGGCAATCGTGAAATTACGAACACCCAGCCCACTTAATTAGGCATGTATTCGAGTATAACGTCAATATGACTTCATTGTATTACCTATTTTTAAATTATACTGCAGGTATAATAAAAAATACTATAAGATACACGTGTATAATTGGTCTTTAAAGCACTTGCAACGTTAAAGGCACTCCGCTTTGCGTCGTGCCCTTAAACTCGTTGCGCGTGCTTTAAAGACTTGATTATACACTTGTATCTTAATATACTATATCCTGACTCAAGTATTACGTCAAAATTATCATGCGGACGAACCAAAAGCGAAATGATTGCAAAAAATGTTTTAGGTAAAAAAGCTTTAGATAATGTTATTGAATTGGTAAACAATCATGTACCCCGTCTCTTTTTTACTGTTCAATTAGATGCATCTAATAGAAAAAATATTAAATTGTTTCCAATTTCAATTCAAGTTTTTACCTTTAAAGACGGTTTGCAAAATTATTTGCTTCATTTTTGTGAAAATAGTGATGAATCCGCAGACGGAATGTTCATGATGGCAGACAACTGTATGAAAATGTTAAAACTTGATTGGAACAATGTTTCTTGTTTAAGCGCTGATAATACAAACTCCAATTTTGGCAAACATCACAGTCTTTATACAAACATGACTGCTGTTAACAAGCATATATTAAAAGGTAACTGTCATGCACACATTATTCATAATTGCGTTAAATATGCAATGGAGTCTTTAGGATTAGATGTTGAAAATTTAATACTAAAAATATATTCCCATTTTTCAATTTCTGCTAAACGCAGAGAAGAATTAAAATCATTTTACGACTTTGTAAATTGCGAATGGCGTGAATTAATTCGACACGTTGGAACTAGATGGCTTTCATTAAACCCATGTATTGAAAGAATTTTGCAAAGTTATTTAGCATTATGCAGTTATTTTTTGAGTTTAGAAAATTGTCCATTACACATTAAACGGTTACTAAAAATTGAAACAAACTCTGATAGTGTACCTGGTGAAATAGAAATTTATTTACTTTTTTGTAATCACATTTTAAACGTTTTCCAAGAAACTATTAAAGTACTAGAATGTAACGAAACCACATCTCTTGATATTTTTACGATTATGACGGAATTGAAAAAAAAAATTACATCAAGAATGGAAAATCGGTTTTACGGATTTGAAACAAAACAAAAATTAAAACAACTGAATAGTGAAATACAAACTAAATTACACGACGAATTTAATTTTTTTTTCAAAAGTCGCTTTATTATCTTGAAAATCATTTTGATTTTTCTCAAGAAAGTTGGCTAGCGGAAATTTCTCATCTAAATTTGAAAAGTGCGTTTCCCAAATATGAGGATTTTGAAAATATTGTTGAAAAAATAGCGAATCCAAATCTAGATGTAAATATGGATACATTATTTAATGAAGTTTCATTAATTTCTGAAAATTTCGTACTTATTTTACAAAGTCCAGATTTTTCTAACCTAAATACTGCTACTAAATGGAAAAAAATTTTTAATGAAGTAGGAATTGAGAATTCAAGAAATATATTTTCTATTGTGTCATTTCTTCTTAGCATACCTGCCAGTTCAGCATTTTCAGAGAGATGTTTCTCTGTTATGAATGTGAAATGGAGAGATGAAAGAAACAGGTGTTCTGTTGATTTAATTCGCGCAGAACTATTAATATATTTTAATTTCTGCCATTTCTTAGCAGGTAGTTTATACGAAAGATGTAATAAACTTTCAAATATTCGGATCCTGGCCTGCAAAATGGACAACCCAAATTGAAGTGTCTCTTGTTTAACTTCTTTCTTGCTTGTCAGATTATTAAAATCCTTACTCGTCAGCCAATGCCACTTTTGCTTCTTGTAACGAATTTATTGAGTTCTGTATGTAGTTGATTTCTTCGTTTATTATATCGGTAGATTCTTTAACAAATCTTATTTTAATGGGACGACAATAACGTGGCGAAGGTGTTGGATTCTGCAAATTCTACGAAGAAGCTTGACTAACGACTTCTGGTATTGCGTTCCTTACTGACATCACCTTCTGCTCAAAAATTTCAATTTTTTTGTTTATTTCTACAGGATCTGTTTGTCTTTTTTGTAATTCGTTAAAAAGAACATCTACATGAGGCATGACACGATGGAAAAATGTAAGCCAGAAAATAAAATTTTCATCTAGGAGCATTCTTCTTATAGATGACGCGGCACTACAAACAGTTTGACTATTAAAAGAGTGTTCTATTTCCTCCTTACATTCTATCAAAGATTCTCGATGTGCAAAAACTATATTTACAGTGCGGATATTAAAATTCCACCGGGTTGGCGCACGATGGGGAATTCTTCTTTGAACTAGTTAGCTCAGTACATCTACACGTGGAGAATTTTTTAAAAAAGTTGGTATTTCGTGCAAGTTTCCAAAAAAAGTCTTACTTGTGAATTTTGTGAAGCAGCTTTAGACATTATTAAATGCATAAGAGTGCACAAAATGGTCATATGGAAACTTCTCTTTAATCCTTGCCTGGACTCTAGTATGTCTTCCGCTCATCACTGCGGCTCGTAGCTTTGAGCAATTAGTTTTTTGGTTGATTTTGTGTCAGGTAATATTGCATTTAGAACATGTAAAATATCTTGCGTGAGGGGCTCTGCATTGACACCAACGGGATTCAAATAGGTCCAAAAACCTTCTACAGCTTCGCCATTTCGTGAATACCAAGTATTACTACTAATTGTGTTTTTGCAGACACATCAGTTGTTTCGTCTACCATGGCAGCTAGATATGGAGAATGACGAATTTCTTCTAAAATTCTCTCCTGGCATACTTCTAAAATGCAGTCCAATAGATCATTTTGAATTCCTTTTGAAATCCCTTTAAACACCGTCGACTTTTCTAAATGTTCTGCCAAAGTTTTGTCAAGTTCTGCACTAAAATGTATTGGGCCATGAAAAATTCCAGGATTTTCTGTCTCATCATGTCCTCCCAGTGCCAATTCAAAGAATTTAACACAGTCAATAATTTTTGACAAAGTATATCGATTTTTTGTCACTTAATCGTTATTTTTTTAAATATTTAACCAATAAGCAGAATCTACTTGTTCCCTTATATTTACGGTGCCTAGTAAAACAAATTCTATTGTGTTATGTAAATGGTGTCGGTATCTTTCACGTTTCTTTATTTTTTGACACAAATGTGCTACATTGGTGACTCCAATTTGTGTCCACGATTTATCTCCGCCAAATAGTACACACGGGAAACAGAAGAGCGCATTTTTCTTATTGTATTAACAATACGCGAAAACTTTAAAATCGCCCCGCAAGACACAATTCTCACCGTGAACCGAGTTGGGAACTGCACCAAATGCAGTTCAAATTCTCGTTAAAGCAACACACTAAATATAACCTCGGCGGATGTCGCGACGTGAGGGGAAACCTTGAATTTGGAGCGCAGAACTCCCTCGTATCGCCGTGCTAAGTTTATATAGATGAGCGCGCGGAGACTGATTGTTTACTGTGTTGGGCAACTGTGCCACCTTTAACTTCGCGCAGTTTAAAGCTTATTTTTTTAATTCTTTTGGGGGTTCTGGAGCTCTGCAGCTCTTATAGACCAGTCGCCACTGGTCTCCCTCATTCCTCTGCGCTCCAAATTTTCTGCTCGATTTTCCTCTTTATCAGCAAAAAGGTGGTTGTAAAACTGAACAGGTAGCATGGGGTATTGATAATATGAGGTATAAGAGTTTAGAAAAATGCAAAAAATTTAGAAATTGATATTAGAGTACGCTTTTTTTTTAATTTTAAAAATAAATCAAATAAAGAACTAAAATAAAACAAGTAAACTTGAAATATTACTAGAACTCACTAAAATTTTGACATTTATTAGATTTATTCCGAGTTTTTCGTTTTCGTTTGTAGAATTCGTCTTACGGATACAAACTAGAGCAGAATCCCATCCAAGGGTATTTCCAGCAAGATGGTGCAGCAGCCCATACAGCAAACGTCACTCTTTAGTACCTACAACAATTTTACGATGATCGTTTAATCAGCAGAGGTTTCTGGTGGTCTCCCCGTTCGTCAGATTTAACCCCACTAGATTTTTTTCTGTTTCCCACATTAAAGAATAACATTTTTCCAAATCGCTTGAGGAACTTCAAAATGCTATGTGAAAACATGCCCCGACATTTTGAACAACCGATTGTGATAAAGTGCGTAATTATAAACTTATGCTTGATAAATTAATATTCCTTAATCAATTAATTGTGATTATTTTTAGATGGCCAAAAAATTGATCTGCCACTGCTTTTAAATAAATGGCATTTGGTGTGTCACCAACTTGAAAAATTTGTTGTTTTGCGGTAAAGAAAACCGCAGTCCGCAGTACTTTTGAACCACCCGGTATAAGTATTAATACCAAAACTGTCA